GACCCGAGGCCAGGGGGGAAGGCCGAGGCCTGCTGGGACAAGGGCGTGTACACAGCTGTCTGTCCGGACACAGCCCAGGACAGAGCCGGCCCCTCACAAGCATCCCGCACCACGGAGTGGCACCCAGATCCACCCACTGCCCCTCTTTGTGTTGAATAAAGAAAGTTTTACAGGAACACAGCTCTGCCTATTGGTTTACAAATTGTTTGGCTATTTTTGTGCTGAATGATTGAATTGAGTAGTTGCAGAAGGGAAACTCCAGCCCTCAAACTCTAAAATATCTACTGTTTGTTACTTTACAGAAAAAAAAAAAAACCTGTCCCTCTTGCTCCAGAGAGCAGTTCCCAGAGTTCAGTCCTCAAGCCTCTAGCATCGCTGCCACCGCACACCCCCAGACCCACGCAGGGAGCACCCCTGGGCGTGGGGCCCTTCAGGTGACTCAGAAACCCTCCCATCTGGCTTCCTGGCCCCTCGGTCATGATGTGGGCTTGGTGACCCCCAGGCAGAGGCCAGGAGAAACAGCGATCAGTAAAAGGAAGGGCATGCAATCAGGAAACGAGGTGGGGGTGTGGGGAGGGGGATCCAGGGAATCTCTAGTGATGCACCTGCACATGAACTCCATGAAGGAAGGAGCTCGCCCTTGTGCCCCAGCACTACCTGCGAGTGTGTCTATGAGTGAATGAATGTGTGCTTGGAATGGGGCCGGCCCCAAAATGTGACTCTGGGGCTGGCATGTGGCATCAGGGAAAGAGGTACACCTGGCAGGTGTGGTTCAGGACTGGGGCTGAAACCCTTGTATAGCAAGAAAATATTACCAGGGGCTGAAGAGCAGAGGCATGTCTAAAAACTGAATAAAATCCTTTCATTTAACCTCAGTTGTACTTCCCCTTCCCTGCCTCAGGCTGTGTATTGGTCCCGGGGATTTTGTTCTTACCGTCATTGCTCAGCTGTACCTCCGTTTGACCTTAGATGATTTACTCAAGCTTCCCAAAACTATTAACTGAATTAATAAATGGGAAGGACTCAGCGTCTGGTACATTTCCCCTATTAAGGAAATATTTTGTCGTTTTCCGAGTCACCATCTTATTTCACGTTGAAAAAAAAGGTCACCAAATAGTACTAGCATTTTACCCATTATTGACTCCAGTGACAAAACTTTGCTCATCAATATTATTTCTTTAGTTGTCTTTAAAGAGATTTCTGCCAAACAGTTCATGGTGCAGTCCAAAGCCTAAGTTGTTCTGAGTGTAATACCTTTAAAATACCTTTTGCCACTTAGGAACATATCGCAAACTTTAAAAAAAAAAAGGTGCTAAAAAATATTTGCTAATATGGAAATAGGTCACTTTGAGGTTTTGTTATTTAGCAAAATATACATGTGTTGGTATAAAATAGAATATCTAAATCTATCATGATACATTTCACCCTACAGTTTTCAAGAACTCTGTGTGAAGCTTTTCATATTCACTGGGGCTGAGGTTTTACATTTATATGCCTTTTGAAGAACTGCATATATTATGAACATGTGAAAAAGAAAATAAGATTATTGAGGGCTTTACTAGGTGAATAAATATTATTTTGTGATTATTCAGTGATAAGTAAATCTCTATTATGTCAAGGAGTCATCAACTTGAAACCTTTATAACTCTTGGCAGAGTGATATTTTGAAAGTTAAAGTAGTGTTTGGTTCTTTTTTTTTTTTAATTCCATAAATGCCATGGGAATTTTATCATGTTTCAACACTTGCTGAATATGTAATTCCCATAGTGCCCATTAGTGGCCATCTGTGTAAGGTAATACATGTTTGGGATGAAATTGATTATGGCCTAAACACTCCCATGTTATGATCAGGAAAAGCATGCAAAGTTCACATCTTTTTTTCTAATGATCATTATGTAGCTAAAGATATTAATTTCCAGAGCAGGACAGCCTATCACTCAAGATCCTAATCTCACAAGAAGGGACACCAGGGCCCAAGAAAAGGAGGCCAGAGAGACTTCCACCAGTAAGTGCTGGACTCAAAGAGCTCTTGGGATGAAAGGAAAATTAGCAGGCTTTGGAACACATTATTTCCTTTATAAGCATCAAAGTGAACCCATTGCAGTTTTGCTGAATATTCAGAAATATTTCGTTACCCTTTAGAAATCCTGTTCTGGCCACCAACAGACTTCAAGTTCACCTTCCCTGTAACTTGAATCAGCATGTACCTTGCTGGCCCAACCTCCTTGGTCCTGTGTATTATTTTTGCCTATTTTGAACATTTTTTTCTTTTTACCTGTGTGAAACCAGGTGCTCTCGTTCTCTCAAATATGTTTTCAATGTTACCTTCTCAGTGCATTTTATTTTCATTAGATCTGTGCATGGTAGTATAGACCCGTGTGCTTCCTGAGCTCATTTATCCACTCAGAGAACCAGAAAACATATGAATATACTTGTTTATATATTTCTAACAAATGTATTCACATCTTGTCTCTCACATTATCTACCTTGTCTATTTGTGAAACATGTCACAAAAAATAACTTCTGCTGTTTAGAAAAGTTTGAGTGTTTGTATTACTGAACTATCCCCATGATCACTGTAAAATCTTATCAGGCCTCCGTAGACTGTAGGCATTTGAACACAGCTGTACCCTGACCTTCCCTGGGATCTGGGCCAGAATGGGTCAGGATCGAATTCCCGAACAGTAGACAAAGGAATTGATAGAATCATTGTCTGAACATTGAAATACAGCCACTGAGATGTGGGCATAGTTGATGCTGAACTGCCCTTCCCCTTCATTCTTGAACTTCTTGATGATAATTATTCATCAGGTTATGATAGATTTCAAGTCTGCTTCCCATTAAAGATAACAAAATAATACTGTCTCCTTATGAAGGAAATTTGCCTTCCTGTCTTATGTTTTATATACTAAGAAGTCATGCATCAAGTGCTTCTAATAGCTGTATAAGTTATTTGGAATATATTGAAAAGAAAATGGTTTAGAGGGTAGCAATACTTAATAACATTTGGATTTTAGATTTTTTTCTTTTGGTCGTACACTCACTCAGTACACATGCTGGTTTAAAGATGAACAAGACGTGGCCCCCAATCTTGAACAAGACTACCAGGGTCATACATTTAAACAGCTAATCTTAATATGATAAATTCAGGTGTGTAAACAAGAGCAAAGTTCTATCAGCACAGCAGAGGGGAAAACTTGTTTTAAGAGATGAAGGAAAGCTTCAGAGAAGCAGTAACCTTGACTTCGGCCTTACAGAACAAGCCAAGTGTTTCCAGACAAGACGATGGGAGCTGTGGGTGTGTATATCCACACACAGACACACACATGCACAAGCGGACACACAAACAGTAATGCTATGCACGCCCATCTCTAGTTAAACGTGTGGCAGAGACAGTCGGCTGGCTGATTTATCACCATGCCCCCCCTTTCTGCCTGTCACCTCCACTATGGAAGCTTGAAAAGCTCAATACTAATAATAATTGGGGTTGGACATATTGAGAAATACTCTGAGGACTTTTAGAAACATTTTTGCTTTTCAAAGAAGACACAGATATGGTTGGTATTACCCCCTTCTTTTCTTTGTGGCTGTTACAGTTCTAGCCGGGATAGCCACCCAAAGACATTGAGACATTGAGACATTGAGAGACATTGAGAGAGATCTAGAGGATGAGTTGAGATAAGGCTGAGCCACCGAACAGATAGCCACAGCTGCCTACTTCAACGCTGCTTCCATAAGGAAAACTAAAATTTTATTAAGGCTATTGTTAGATTTTTCTATGTATAGCAAAAGCCACTCCTAATTAATATACTCATACAGTAAACACACATGCACTCATTCTTACTTGTTTGAATATGTATTCAATTTTATTTCCATGCCTAACAAAACTTGGGACTAATTTTAGACTTCCATTTGGTGATAAGTAAGTAGATCTTAACATTAGAGGAAAATAGGAAATGCACTGCTTTGTTTGTTATTACCAGCTAGCCACTATTGTTAGCACTTCCTTTCCCTTGATTCTGTTCAGTCCTTGTCTTGTATTTTCGATAAAAAATGAAGTCGAGAATGGAGAAAAGGGTTGAGAAGAAAGATACACGTCGACGCAGGTCATGCAGGAGGTTGGACTGGGGAAAATGGGGTATGACCGCGGCAGTGCCACTCACTGGCTGGGCGCATGACGCAGAGAAAGTTTTAAATCTTAGTCTATCATGGTGCATTCCTATGTGGTTAAGAACAAGAACACCATTACCTGTGTCTACCTGGCAAGCCAGGTCTCCCTCACAGCCAAGAGGTCGTTCTCTTTTTTCTCCACTCAGGAAGATGAGAGTCAAAGCCATTCTTCAGGAGAGGTTAGAACGACTTTCCACAGAGCATACTGGTTGTGTTCAGTCTCATGTGAAACGTACCATCCTGTGAGCATGAGATCTTTAACAGACTCTGACCTTCTACTGTGCAAATGTGAAACAATCTGAAAAACACTCAACCTGTCCTTTCTTTTTTTTTTTTTAACAGAGACTAATGCTATCACTTTGTTTATTGTTCTTCATCATTTCTGATGGTAACATGTATATATTTCCAGACACTGCATCAAATTATAATTTAATAGTACTGGCATATTTCCTTATTTTTCAAACAGGCCTGCAAGATTATTGTGGTGTTCTTCAATAGTTTTGGGGTTTGGGGGAAGATGGGGTTTTAGCCACTGCCTGCTTCTTTTAAACTGACTCGATTTGCCCCTGTATGCTATTGTTGTTTTTGGAATCCATTTCTTACCTTAGACAGAAGTCAGGTAAAACTCATGGCCTCAGTCTCCTGCCAGAAGCCCAGGACAGCCAGGGGTCCTCAGGAGAGGAAACTCAGTGGGCCCTTTGGAATTTACAGCAGTGGCCATGAATTAGCATTCACCCTTGTCTTAAAAGCATATACACACTTCAGTTTTTTTGTTCTTAGAGAACCTAAACTGGTCTAATCTTAAAATGTGTACCATTTATTTTCCCCAGAATCTTCAGCTACTTGGAGCTACAGCCATTGAGGATAAATTACAAGATCAAGTGCCTGAAACCATAGAAACTCTCATGAAAGCAGACATCAAAATCTGGATCCTCACAGGGGACAAGCAAGAAACTGCCATTAACATTGGTAATTCACCTAATCCCAACTTTAACTCGTGATGCTTTTAAACAGCTTGATACATTATAGAAGATAAATTTTGGATCTGTCAAGATTTGAAAGATTTGGTGTTTTGATTTCCATATTTATATTATGGGGCATATCTGTGTCTGGCCCCGGTGACTGTTTAAAACTGTAGTGGTTACATATCTGACCTAACTACAGCTCACTCCTGCAGCCACATAATACCTGCTCTCCCCTCTGCATCACCACCTGCCCCCACCTTCCATCCACAGTTGGCATGTGTAGGTAACGTTTCTGCAGTTATCTGTGAAAGTCTAGAAACTGGGATTGTAGTGGGTTGTGTACCGATGCTTGTTTATTTGACCGAAGGTCATTTCCGAGAAAGGAAGTAAGAAGGTTGCCAGTTTGCACTCTTCTGCAGTTAATTCTGTTTTGGAAAGAGGTTATTAGCTCGGGCTGCCATAACAGAATGCCACAGGTCAGGTGGTTGAAACAGCAGAAATAAATTTCCTCACGGCCCTGGAGTCTGGAAGTCAGAGATTGGAGTGTCAGCACGTTCGGTCTCCCCTGAGGCCTCTTTCCCTGGCTTGCAGGCGGCCCCTTGTCTCTGTGTCCTCACATGGCCTTCCCGGCACACAGGAGTCTTGCTGTCCCTTCCTACAAGGACTCCAGTCCTATTGGATCAGGCCCCACCCTTATGATCTTTAATTAACATTTTTAAGTCCCTTTCTCCAAGTGCAGTCACATGTGGGTTAGGGCTCAAGTGTGTGAATTTTGGGGGGACATGATTCAAGCTATAACAGAAATCTTACTGAGAAGAAAGGCAGTATTTGGTGTTAGAAGCCTGCAGTACCAATGTCACTCCCCCTTTCCAGCTTCGGTAGTGGTAGGTCTCCTGAGCACCGTGAACCTTGACTCTGACTCAGCCTCTGGACAGGGACGATACGAGTTACACACAAAACTCCCCCAGAATTCAACAGACCATTTCAGAGATATTCACAGCAGGAAACCTCATGTTCAGACAATCATGATTATCATCTGTCCAGAAACATTTAGCTAATATTCCTTTCAGAAGTGTCAGTGATCACAGTATTCAGGGTAACACACCCTGAATACTATAAATGCACCACAAATTTACAGTAGAGTGATGTTAATAGAGTGAAATTAAATTTTCAAAAACACTAGCTAAGAGCTGAAATCTACAAGCCACACAGATCATTCCTTTTGATGGTGAACACCAGCACTGGTGTTAGAGACAAAATGGAAGGAAGAGGTGCAGGCAGGCAGTCTGCACCGGGACTTCCCTGAAACACACGAATGTGACAGAGCCTGACCACATGTAGAGGGAGAATGTATGGTGGTTAAGAGTGATATGTGGGGAAAAGAAGAAATCGTGTAAAAGAGCTCAGGATACAGAGCCTATGAAAAGAGTATGGTGGTGGTTTCCGAACACATATTACACCTAGAATCTTGTCCCTAGGAAAGGATGGGTAAGATTCATTCATTCAGCAAATGGGTATGGCACCTGCAGTGCCAGGCACCAGCTAAGAGCAAGGAACAAAGCAAACCAAAATCTTCCCTCCTGGAGGGCTTCCACCCTAGTCATGGGAGCAGACAATAAAGCACATGAGGAGAACACATAGCATATTAGATGCAATAACAGCTGCAAAGAAAAATAAAGCAGGAAAGGGAGATAGGGCCTTGCACAGAGGGATTCAGTTTCAAATCTTGAGGTCAGGAAGACCTCGTTGAGAAGGTGACATTTGAGGAATGACGTAAGAGAGGAGAGGGAGCTTGTCACTTGGGTGGTTGGGGGAGGCTGTCCTTTGTTCCAGACCGAAAGGGCAGAGCAGGAGAAGTGGTCAGCAGCGGAACTGAGCCCAGGTTGGATGGGGCCTCCAGGAGGTTGTCCAGACTTAGCGTTTCCTCTGAGTGAACAGGAAACCACAGGACAGTTCCCTGCAGAGGAAAGACGTGATCTGACTTTCCCATGAAAACAGCCAATGTGGCTGCTAGACTGAGAACCACTCAAAGGAAAGCAAATGTGGAAGCAGGGAGACCAAGGAAGAGGCTGTATAATTAATCCAGGTGAGACGTGCTGGTGGGTTGGACACAGGCATTTACCATGGACGTGACAAGAAACTGTCAGATTCTGGATATACAGGGACCAGCACAAATAATGCCCCTGTTTTCTGTAATACAACACTATCACATGGAAGCACACCATATGACATTTTAGGTGAGATGTTCAAATTAAAACTATACATTATTACACCCACATTATTAGCCTACCAACCACACTCAAGCAGGTGTTACTTCTGCCAGACCCTGTATGTTAAAAGTGGAGCCTACAGGATTGACTGGTAGATTACCTGCAGAGTGCGAGACAGAGGAATCCGGGGTAACTCCAAGGATTTCTAGTCATAGCAACTGAAGGATGGAGTTGCCATTAACCAAAACGAGGAAGACTGAAGGAGGAGCAGGTTTCCCAGGGGAACTCAGGAAGCTGTCTTTTGGATACGTTAACTTCCCGACACCCATTCTATACCCAAGTGTCTGCTGTTGAGTAGGCACTGGGATGTGGAGTCTGGAGTTCAGGGAAGAGACCTTAGCAGGAGACAGGAGTTCCAGAATGGCCATCATTCAGATGGCATTTGAAACCACGGGAAGGAAAGAAATCGTGGAGCGAGTATAGACCGTGCTGTTCGAAACGCGGTGGTAGTACCTGACATGGGAGGGCAGTCCGCAGGGCTGCCTGTTTTTCTCCAGCCACAGTCAACCGTAGGCAGACGAATTCAGAGGAAGCAGGGATGGGTTAGCCAGCCAGTGATTTTTCCCTGCAGCCAGTACAGCAAAGCTGGAGAGGGCAGGAGGGTAGAGGAGGGTGTGATGTGAGCATTTGTCCACAGCACAGCCAGACCACCCTCCTGTGCCCTTCTCCGGCCAGCCATCGGCCCATCTTCTGCTCTTCACATTAGTCGTCATGAAGGATGTCACTTGTCCTCGTGTCAGTTGTCAGGACGCTGAGAATCATGACCACAGTCCTTTCCACCCTCGTTGATGAGTCAGCTGTCCCCTGCCAGGTGTTGTCCTGGTAGCGTCCCCTTCCTACAGCAGGCTAGAGCACCTCTTCGTTAACTTCCTGCAAACCTGGAGAAGACCCGACTAGCATCTTCCTAATAAATGGGATACATTTTAATTTTATATAAGAAAATAGATTAAAAAGCAATTGTATAGTATTGCTTTTATAGTATTACTTTAACATCTCTTCTATGCCAGAGAAATCAATGGCATCAGTTAATTCACTTTATGTTTGGACACAGGACACTCCTGCAAACTTCTGAGGAAGAACATGGGAATGATTGTTATAAATGAAGGCTCGCTTGATGTAAGTAAAACCATCTTTTAAAAAAAAAATCCTTTAACAACTTAGTCATCTGGTAGTGTTGTGTTTTATATTCAGATAGCTATGAGAACACTTTATCTTCCTGAGGTAAAAAGATACCTTGTTACCACTGTCCTTCTGATACATAATGTGCACCATGCGAACCACGGTGATGTGAGTGGACTCCAGCCTCAATGCCCGTGACAGCCAAAGGAGAGCGCCTCACGTGGCGAGACACGAGCACTGCATCACAGCAGCACCCTGGCCAGGGGCTCCTGAGCGACGGCCATTTGTTCCTGTCTGTCTGGGTGTTTTGTGTTTGATGCATTTATTAGTAATATTCTGCTTTAGCTGCCAGTGATAATATACATTTTGCTTCTTTTTTTAAAAAACGTTGTGAGCACTATTGAACAACACAAAATAACCATTACTTATAGAAAAGCTTTTGTGTTTGGGGGGTTTTTTTCCATTTTTTGCAGGGTTTTTGTCCATGTTCTAAATTCCAGGGAAGTCTGTTTTCATGGCTGTGGTCACCTGAATGTGTATTTGGGAAAGAGGGGAGGATTGGTTAGGTGCACAGGGCGAAATAGACATTAACAATGAACTACGTAGGTCAAATGACCAGTAAATATTTTCAATTAAAGGTGAATATTTGTAACTTAAGGCAGAGGACAGAGTGGGAGATGTGGTTATACAAGGGCTTGAAGTGGGCCTTGAGGTGCGAAGAGCAGAGCAGGGCAAACCTGACCGTCCGTGTGTAGGCGGGCCGTGAGGCAAGCACACAGAAGGGGTGGCGAACAGGCAAATGTTTAAAGTCCAGTGTAGATCAGAAATTGTGTGTAAGAAGTGGTTGGCTTCTGATTTTTAGACTGGAATGATGATCTCTTCACTATTTGTCCTCAGAACAGTCCTTGGGATGCCTTGCCCTTTCTCGTGACATCTTTGAGCAAAACTTGTCACCTGAGAAATAGTACATGATTTTGCAAGCATGAAAGTTGCTTACACCTTTACCTATTGGAGAAATACTTTTTGTGAACCAAGCTTTATTCCTAAAAACACAAACCAAAAGAAGGCCAGCCTGCTGTTTGAAGACTTTCCTTTCTATTTACTCCTCCAGGAGGCCCCCACTAGGCCCTGGGAACCGCGGACTCTGCCGCCGTAGGGCTTCCAGTTGTCTCCATGCTCCACGCCTCCCTATGTGTTAATTTGGGTTTATTTACCCAAGTTACTGTGCTATAAAAATTATGACTTAAGAGAACCCAGCCTTCCAAAAGCTTATAAATAATCAAAGAAATAAAATGCACACAAGTAACAATACAAAACAGTTATGAAAATGTGGGAGATTGTCTGCTATGAAAATATTGCAAAGTTGAGGGAAGTATTTATAAAGTAAGTGGCATTTAGGTCGAGGTGAGTCATTGAGTAAGGGGGGAGTACTTGAAGCAGAAAGTCATTGCAAGCAAGTTCAAGGCATACTTGGGGCTAGAAGGAGGTACGCTGAACTTGAACACAAGATTGTGACTTTTTACATATTTTTTGTTTGAATAAATATAGGCACAGAATGTAAACTTCAAGTTACAAAAAGGATAAAAGGGTACAGATGGTAAAAAACTGGATCTCCCACCTGTGTACCCAGTTCACCTCCCTAGGCATGGCCACAAGTTCCAGTCTCTCGTGTCCATCCAGAGACATTCTGTCATATCTAAGGACACGTGTGTATGTCTGTACACACATCCTCTGCCACTAACTCAAGTTACAGTGTGCTGTTCATACTGCTGTATACTTTGTTTTTCTCATGCAACGTGTCTTAGCAATTGTTCCATTATAGTTCATATGACACTACCTAATTCTATTTACAAGAGCAGTGGCTCAGTATTTGTAAGGTAATGGAAAGAAGTGACCCAGGGAGTTAAAATTGGAAAGGCAGGCCGAGGGCAGGTGTGGGAGGCTGGATCAGGATTGACAATTTGCCCGCACAGGTAAGAGGGGCAACTTCATCAGCCTCTTGAAAGAGGTAAGATGCACATGAGCGAGTGTACTTAGGCATATTTGGAAGGCTGGGGAGGCATGGGGTGCAGGCAAAGGACCAGGATGAGAGCTCAATAAGAAGAAATGGGGGCACCAGCACCAAGATGTGGGGTGAGGGACATTCAGGCAGACCTGTCCCACGTGGTCTCTGGAGAAGGAGCCATCCAGGCGGTTCCGGAACTGGGTTGCAATAGCTCACAGCTCTGCAAAAACCTCAGCAGAAGCATTCCCATAGTCCCCACAGGCAGTTAGTTACGTCTGTGTCAGCAGCGAGGGTCATCACAGAACACCGTTTTTTTGTCACTTGAAAGAAATCAGAGGTAGGACCCATTACATCAAGACAAAGGCGTAACAAGCCATGCTTACTCTGACACGTGATTCCTTTGGTCCAGTGTCAGGTTTTCACCTTCTGCAGAAAGTGGTGGCCTTGTTGCTTTCATTGTTGTCTGTTTCATCATTTTCCTGCAACTCTTGGCTAAATGTGTTCTTTAAGTGTTTTAAGCGTCATGTAAATAGGAATCTCAAGGGGAAAAAGTGAAATGTCAAAAACATTCAATGTACTGCATCATGTATTGTTAAGACAGTGGCTTTTAGTTTTATTCTGAAGTTTCCAAGAGGGTACACTCCAAAGTCATAAACCCCTCAAAGGTGTCTGGACTGCAGGAAACAGAGATAGGGGTCCCAGGGGAATGCCCAGTCTTGGGGAGAGCAGGAGCGGAGTCTGTCTCCTCGGGTTCACCATTCTCTCTCAGCACTCAGCAAATTGCCCAGCACGCAGAAAGTCCTCCACAAACACCGGAGAAGTCAGTCACTGAGTAATTTTAATTAGGGGCTTTCTTTAAAAACAAGAAAGTTGTGTATCAGTTTTAAATTTGGTGGTAACCAACCGTATCTGATATTTAAAAACTAAAGTGATTAGCAATGTCCTTTGCAATTCAAGTGACAGTGTGGTGTGGAAGATCACAGGCAGACACTCTGGCTGAATGATCAGCACTCATTTGTCCAGCTCCCGGACTGCCAGGCCTTCTGGCACTGCTGTCTGGGGGAGGGTGTGCTCCCAGGGAGCGAAGTGAGTCTGGCTGTTCAGGGTCAGGCCTGCTCTGGAGCACTCATTTGCTTCCCAGCAGGAAAGGAAACATCACTTTGCATAGCCGCCTCAGATCTTATGTCATAAACTCCTCGGCTGAGACTTCAGGCAAATCATTAGACGTGCTAGAATGCCTGCGAGTAAATCATCATTTACTTTTTAACTGCCGTGGATGAGCAGAGCATCCTATGTGTTCAGACTGCACTGATGATAATAAAATATGGGATTGCGATTCTATCAGCAAAAAGAATAATTAACATTTAAATAGTAAATTTAGGAACATAATGTCTTGGGAAGTCTTAGAAGGAGAAATACATTGTGGATGTGTGTTTTGTCAAGTGACAATTTTCATGAATGTACTCAAATTATTCCCTGAAATTACACAGTGTTTAAGAGAGCTATTCTGCCCTAACTGGAATGGGGGACCCTGGGCAAGCTGAAATTAGATAACTTCTCTGAAGCAGTTTCACTGCCTATAAAGTAGGGGTAATGTTACCCTTGGCATACAATTAGTACAGCACATGGCACATATAAAGATGAGATGTTATGAGACTTTGTAGAAAAAGAATATTTCAATAGCTTACACATTGTTTTGCTTAATGATCTTTTTATTTTAAATATTATTTTCCCATCTTTTAATTATTTTCCTAAGATAGCATTTTATACATGTAGATCCTCTTTTGCATAAGTGATGCATATTGCCATGAAGTGGTCAGATTTTCTACCAAAATATTACCTCTAATACGGTTAAAGTTTTAAAGCAGACTCTTGTATTATGTTGAACTTGTACAAATAAATTGTCCTACTTAAGGCTCCTAGATTTCCAAATAGATAAACCTTTCTCCTGGTAGTGAAAAAAAATCTTTGTCTTCTCATAACCTAGCTCATCTCAAAAAGAAATGCCACTTGACTTTCTAATTTTCTCATTTTGAGTTTCAATATGATTATCCTTCTTGAAAAATTAATGGCTGTTTGACTTTTTTTTAATTTTATTTATTTACTTTTAGACAAAGGGAAAGGGAGGGAGAAAAAGAGGGAAAGAAGCATCAGTATGTGGTTGTCTCTCACAAGCCCCCTACTGGAAACCTCACCCACAACCCAGGCCTGTGTCCTGACTGGGAATAGAACCTGCGACCCTTTGATTCCCAGGCCAGCACTCCATCCACTGAGCCACACCAGCCAGGGCTGCATTTTTAAAAACCTTTAAATAAACATATAAAACCAAACTACAGTTGGAAATGCAAACGAACAGAATGGAAGTCTTGATCTGCAGACCCAACGAGGAAGTCAGACTGGCCTGCCTCCTCTGCCCACCCGGCTCCTTTGGTGACAAGAGCAGCAGCCCCTTCCAGCCCGATACCCAATGCACAGCTGGTGTCCTCACCCAGCACCTGCGAGCCAGTGTCAAATGTTGCATAGTCAGCAAAAGTGTTTCTTAGAAAGCTGATTTTTTTTTTTTTCATTTAGAAAGTAAGACTTTCATGGATAAGCGTAATTAAGAATCATCTAAAGTTGATCAAAATTTATTAGATAATTATAATAAATAGATAATTAAGTTAATTTGTATAATTTTTTATCATGCTACTTTGAACCACTTTATTGGGGGATTCTGATTATGTTCTTGGTAGAAGACATTTCCTTAAGGGTCTAACACGGCAGGAGTGTTGAGTTAATTAGCGGCTTAATGGGTCTGTTGTACTTCTTCCCGAACTCCACCCAGAACTTCTCAGAAATCCCTTCCACTTAATGACCTGGGTCCAGGAGATGGTTCTAGCATCTATTTCATCGCTTTAGTTTGTCATGAAGTCATTTGTTCAAACAGATTTGTTTAAAGCCTATTAAAACTGGAAACATGTAGAAATCTGAGCTAGGCACTAGAGACTCGTGT